CATTTTATCCTACTTATTGGAGAAGGTTAAGGATCTATATTTTAAGGGCATAAAACTTTGTAATTAGAGGTGTAATATAGTAAGGAAGCGGGAATAGAAGCATTTAAAAAATAAAATTTGATATTTAGTCAGCAGTTTTGAAGGCATTGTTAGCTCATAATTCTTTGTACATTAGCTCTTTACAAATGATTATTAGGGTAATAAAAATTATTTATTTAAAGGTTTAGAATAAGAAATATAAATCAATTAAATTCTTTCTATAACTGAATCATAATTTTATTTAAACATTATAAATGAAAAATATTTTGATTAAGCAAATCATTTTTGAAAAATCGAATTACTTAAAATATTATTTAAATTTTTAAATTTATTGATTATCTTCAAGACTATGATTTATTCCTTCAAATTCGAAATGCAATAATGAAATAATAGGATTAGGAAAACATGAAGTATTTTATAAAATCTTGATTTTCAAAGATTTATGAATTAGAAAAATGTTTATTAATGGTCCTTCTTTTGATTAATTTATTAAGAACTTTTTAGGTATACTTTCAGGGATTCAGCATATTATTTGTTCATTCTTTGTAGATTTAATGACATTACTTAACGCTGAATATATAAAAGGAATAGAGCATAAACTAGAGGCTCAGGACCTATAACATAATACTTCGAGTATAGATCAATAATATATGACCCTTTATTATTTATTACGATGAGGAAAAGTAAATGAGTTTTTCTTCACAGAAATTTACTTAGAATCCCTTTTGATTTTTGAATATTATGGTATCCTGTCATAAGTTTTTTTAAATTCTTTAAAAAAATAATATTTATTGTATATCAGCTGACCCTGAGTTTTCCCAATCTTATCTCACTCCCATATTTGAAAAGAATTCTTGTTGTTTTTTCCAATATAAATAATTGAATTTCAAACACAATTTCAGAAATTATTAGTTTCCTTTTTAGAAATACCTTTTCAACAACTTGATAAAAAGCTTGAATTGAACTTTTCTCCTTTGTTAGATGGAGAAAGTTGATTTTCTCAATTTATAAGGATTATTTGAAGATATGAAATTCATTACAGACAATTATCTACTTAGCTTACATTTAGCTGATTATCTAATATTGCTATCATATTTAGTTATTTATCCCAACACAGATTTTGACATAATTGGTTCAAACCTTGTCAAGCTAAGTTGCATTAAAAATTTCTATTTGAATGTTTTTGAGAGTATATTATCAAAGGTTGCCAAATCCAATTTGAATAGTTTAACGTTGAGATAGATCAAAATATAGTCAACATGGTAGGTGACCAAAGAAAATATTAGGCTTACTTCGTACTCTAAATATTTTTGAATTTTCAAACATAAAAGAGATTATTAAGAAGGAAAGATTATATTAATTCACACTATCTTTAGTATTATTGAACTATTATCTACATCTATTTCTTTTTATTTAATTGTCAAGAGATTTTGTTCCTTTTATAATGCTGCTAGACCATATGAGTTATTTCCTGTTTGCTCTCAACAATCATCTATTAGAGGGCTATTTTTCATAAAAACTAATTTATTTTACTGGTTTTCTTAACCTTGTTAGCTGAGCATTTGTGGGCCTTTTTATTATTTCCAGTTATACACCCTCTAAAAGTTAAGAGTTATATTCGACTTAATAGGTTTTCCTTAAAGGGTTAGGCGTTTAAGCTGAGAGACTCACTAAAAGAATACTTCCATTCCATTTGATTAATCGAATGTGTCAAACAGTGAGAAACCCTTATGTAACACTTTAAATTAGAAGTTATAAACTAGAAAATATCCCATATTAATGAAAATATACAGTTCTACATACTTTATAGTTGAAATAATTTAAAATGACAGATTATTTTGAAATTATTATTTTTGATTTATTTTAATTAAAATTGAATAGAGTAAAAATTTGAAATTAAGTTTTTATAATATTTTTGAAAAACTCTCTGAAATGAATATTATGATCTAATTTAGGGGTTTCCTTTTATAACTCTTAACATATTTTGTCAGATCCGTTTCATTATCTAAGGCAGGCAGAAAAAAGACAAATTTATAATTAAATACAATCCTTACAGTTTATCTTATAAAGTTAATTAGCAACATGCTTTAGCCATTACTCTTTTGTCTAGATCTCAAGTTCAAAGGTACTACCCAATGTTTTGAATTTTTTCAGCTTCTACTTCAAATTCAAATAGGTAAAAACGGAGAATTCAAACATCAAGTGCATATTCTCCCTTACTAAGTATGGATTTCCTCTAAAATGAGCTATTAAAGCCCTAGCAGAACTGATCTCTGTTAAAAATACTATTTTTTTGATTAAATTTCTACATTAAATAAAGAATTGTTATTCGGAGTTATTATCTAATTCTTAACATCATTGATATAATAATTCTAATTACTCCTTATTGCCCTCTTTTACTATCTACTGTCATTATATAAGGCATCAAATTTTTTCAGTCAATTCCTATTAAACTACATATTCGGAAAGTACCTATAATTCTTCCTTTAGCCTTTACATATTATCACTTGATAATATCCTGGAAATAATCAAAAAATTACTCAATTCATTTAATTTGACCTGCACATTTAAATAAATTGTGATCTGTTAGACTTTTTTATTTTAAACTTTTTTAGAAATAATTCCACTCCACTTCACCATTTAGTGATTTCCACATTTGTATTTATGATCAAAGATCCTCAATCAAATATTTGATCATAAAATTGACTTGGGTCTCAACTTACTCATCATTTTACTGTCATTTTTCTTTTTCCTAAAATAAAATAATTTCATAGTTTCACAATCAAGAACCATTCTCGCTAATTATAAAATTATCCTAGCATGTTTAGAGTCTCTTTTGATATATCAATAAATTCAAGCCAACAACTCTTTCTAGAGCTTGTTTATTCTTTGCTATGATTTATTGATATTAAAAAAATATAAAAATTAACTTTTATGATAGTTTGCATTAAACAATAAACAAGATATTATTTTAATTATTAGGATCTGAGTCTTATTTATATCAATTTAAATTGTGAAGTTTTCACTCATCATTGCTATGACCTGATTGCTTGTTAATCCCTCACTGTCAAGAACAAATTTTTAACATTTATGACCTAAAGATACGACTACTCCTATTAATTAGAGTACCATAAACGAATTGCAATCAATATAAATTGCGATATTATTAAGGTTCCATTTTCAGCATAAAAAACTCAATTAAATTGATCTCCTTTATACCTTGCTTCTTTGTTATTTATTCTCATAGTCCTTACTCTATATTAGTTTCTTATTCCAAATTTCCTACACATCCATGTATTAATACTCCAAATTCTGCTTACCAAAGTCAATCATTAAAAAAATAATACTAATGTTTTCCTAAATGATACCTAATAATTGAACAAACTGATAAAAAGGTTTGTCTAATAATTAATATATCAATTTAAATTATAAATAAACTTTAATCTGTTTCTTTAACACAAGCTAGTACTCTCTGTTAGAAAAATTATTTCCTTACTTATACAAAAATGAAAGTATTTTTTGGGATTCAGTCTCCAACTATCTATTATATTCTCAACCTATTTTTTTATGACCAGGTTAAATTTCCAATATAATACTGTCTCTCTAACAAAAGATATAAATCTTTATGTATACATTTTCTAAAATTTGATGTTTAGAAAATTTTCATTTCATTTAAAATATATTTTTTCCTATTAGCAGTGATAGTTATATAGAACCAGGTTTAGAGGAATTTGATGATTGCAATTAAATTTAATATTATGGTTGCTATAATTGTTAATTAGAATGCGATACTAGATGTAATAAATGCAATTATGGGTATTGTAAAGATATTTGTCTATTTGATGAATTGGAAATTGATGTAAATTGCTTCAAATTTAAATCTGAAGATCAAGATATTATTAGCTCTAGTGATTGTAGTGATTGTCCTAAAAGATGCTAAGAATGTGTTTAAGGGGAGTGTTTATTTTTTCAGTCAAATTATACACTTCTTAGAAGATTTTGTTATGAAATTGAATGTGGAAATCGAATAATAGAACCTCTTGAAGATTGCTATGATGGTAATTCTGTAAATAATGATGGATGTTCCAATGATTTTAAAATTGAATAGAATTGGAATTGTTTTAATAAGGATACATAAGTTAATTAGTGTTTTTCATCTACATAAGTGTTTCTTGAATATTTGAATTAGACAAAGTATTACTAATATATTCAATTGCAATTTTCTAAAAAGTTATACCTGGCAACTATTCAAAAATAGATAATTTTCCTACTAAGGATTCATTTAAAATTATTGGATTGTCATCTGATGGATATTTTATAAATTTCAATCCAAAAGTTCCTATCTCTAAAATGAATTTAAGTACTACTAAATATACAATACACACATATTTAGTATTTAATTATATGAAACCATTTTGGATGAGGATGAAATGTTTTTATCACCAATTAATGTATCAATTGAACTTAAAGTTCCTAAATTCTGACAATATCTCAATTAACAGCTTCTAAGACTTTACAAAATGCTGGCTATGGCATTATGATTAGTTTGAGTTATAGTGGCTTTTTAATATTACTTTTAGGAAGATTTTTATAAATAATTTCATTATTAAACATACCTTAGTAATAATCATTTTTTAAATACTTAGATGTAGAATATCCATAAAATTTCTAAATTTATTTTGAATCTTTAAATTTCATTAATTTGTAAAGATTATTGATTTATTTAAATTTTCCAGATTTATATTCAAACATATTTTCAAAATAGTTTTAAGAGAGTGCAGGTAAGTTTAAAGAGTATAAAACAAATGCTGATTTTCTTAGCAATATTGATAATTTGATATTCTAAATTTTGTTGGATGTACTTTTTTTTTACTGCTCTATGTATATGAAAATACATTTCTAAACAAATTTCTTTAAGAAAAGTTTATAGTTTATTCAAAAACTGAAATGGAAAGTCATAATATCTCTTATTATTTCAATTTAAAAGGAAGAAATTAGAAATTAAATGAATCATGACGAAAGAAGTTTTTATTAAATTCATTTATACAAATAGTTAAGACTTAATTTTTAAAATTGGTAATTTTTTATTTCCAATACAAAGCCTCAAATTCGATAAAGAATTTTCTTATTAATTATATTTATGTATTAAGGAAACATAATTTGGATTTTCCTATTTAACTTTAAAAAACATAAGGTGATAAAAATCAAATAAGCTTTTCAATTATAACAAGAAAAGTTAATTTTATTTAAATAATTCGCTTTCCATTTTCTTTAAACTTAATTTAAATTTTACCCTAAACTATAAAGTCTACTAATATCATTTGTTTATACTACTGATATTATTTTGATTTTAGGTTTTAACCTAAAATGAAAATTAATAAAATTGAAATATTAATTATTTTATCAAATGTAATTCCAATTACAATTTTCAAACTATTTAACAATTATGTGATGATAATTTTTTAAACTCTTAAACTTTGAATAAATAAATATATATTGGATTTGTGTAGATTGGATTGCTAATTTTTCGTTTAATAGGTTCTTTTCTGAAAATTATATTTGACTGTTATAATTTATGGAAATAATTTAAACAAAGAAAAGCAATAATGAGTTCCAAAATAAGATATCTAAAAAAGTTTTCATTTTAGCATTTTGACATAATAGATTAGGATTTAATTTGATTTTGAGTGTTATCCTGTGTTTAAACAAAAAATAAAAATTCTATAATATTATTTCTTAATCTAAATAAGAGAGAATTTGTTATCCTCTAAAGTTAAAAAGAAATTTGAATTAATATTTATATTTATGAAAAGTAAACTCCATTCTGAAATATGTTTGGAATTAAATAACAATTTTATATTAAAATATGTGAAAGAATATTAATTATGAGATTATTTACAATAGTTTTCAATCAGTAATTATCAAAAAGGTCTTTGCCTTCAGTTCCAAAATGATTAGTTAATATTTTATTTATATTTAAGGCATTTAAGACAATTATTTTACTTTCAGTAATATTTATTGCTTAAGTAAAATATATTTACTATTTACTATAGGTAATCTGAAAGTAATTGATTAAGTTTAATTATATTATATTTTATATGATTCTTTTCATGTCGTTTAGTATTAATAAATTGTAAATAGATATTTTTATTAATTTAATTTCTTGGTTATTGTGACAAATTAAATGGCATAAAACCTCTAGTTTAAACCAATTAATAAATATCATGAAAATATTAAATATTAGTATTAATATTTATTCAGTTTCTTGAAAATCATTACAATTTCAATCACATCTTCTTTATTTATATCTTCTTCCTTATCTTAATGTCTCTCTTCTACTTATTAAAGTTAAGAAAAAAATATTTAATTGATTCAATATATAACCATAACACATCTATTTATGAATATTGTTTAAAAATATTGCTAGATACTTTAAAATTAATTCAAAATTTTATGTTTTCCAATTATTAAATCACATTATAACACAAAACTGCAAAAAACCTATTGTTGTATCTTTAATTTTGATAAAGATTTATCTCAATTTTTGTTACACGACCTCTATTATGGTAACTTGAATTATATTTCATATTTGTATTTGAATTTGCTTGGGTTAATCTATAGAAAATAATTTGATATTCTCTTTATAAGTTTTTAAAAATCGCTTCACCAGAAACATTGTTTAGCATAAACCATTTGTTTTAATTGATTAATAATATTTTATTCAATTATTATTATATTAAATATATAATATAAAATAAAAATTAATATTTAATGATTTAACTAATATTAGATAATAGTACATAATTAAAAAGAATTATCTGACAAATCTAAAAAATTATTATCATTGTTATGAATCCGAACTTATATGTTCTATAAGTTCAATAAGATTGTCAAAATTAAAAACAACCAATTTAAGTACTTATTATCATTATAACCAATTGTTCAATCTTTAATCTTTGAATATCTTATAAAAAAAACTAATATCCTTCTTCTCTTTAATAGGTCA